CCATCACATGCAGGCAACGAGTCCTGCGGGCCTCAGCCAGCCTCTTGTCCCAGTGCGAGATGAACCTCATGGCCAAGCTCAGCTACCTTTCCTCCTCTGAGACCCGAGCTCTGCTCTGCAAGTACTTTGACAAGGTAGGAGACAACTGCCCTCTCTGCTGGTGGGAAGCTGTAGTATCTGACCAAACTCTTGTTTTCCTCAGTTTCAAGCTTTCTGCCTGCCTCCTACTGTATTTTTACCCTGAAAAGTCAGGCCACAAAGCCACAGCACCATGATCCCCATCTGTCCCAACATGTGAGAGAAGGGCTTAACTGGTCGTAGGAGGCATAGATCCCTGCAGTGGCTGCCACATCAGTGTAGCCACACATTGCTCTTCCCTCCGTGAGGCAGCTGGCACATCCCAGAACTACTAACCTTCGCGTGCTGTGCCAAAATACTAACCTGATGAGGCTCAGTGGGGCAGGAAATCTTCCCAAGCTCTGAAGGAGCTGAAGTGTTCCTTGCTTTTGGGCCCTGGCCAGGTGGTGACGCTGCGAGAGGATCAGCACAGGCAGCACATTGCCTTCTCGGAGCTGGAGATGCAGCTGGAGGAGCAGCAGCAGCTGGTGTACTGGCTGGAGGCAGCCGTGGAGCGCCAGCGCCTGGAGATGGACCGGCAGCTCACCCTGCAGCAGAAGGAGCACGAGCAGAACATGCAGCTACTGCTCCAGCAGAGCCGTGGTAACCTCACCCAGCCCCTGAGGCAGGCAGTGGTGGCACTGCTTTGTCACTTGTAGGGCTCTCAGCTTGAAATGGGCTCGTTTTATCTCATAGAGCACATGGAGGAGGGGCTGGCCAGCAGCAAGCTGCAGTACGAGGCAAGGATTCAGGCGCTGGAGAAGGAGCTGAGCCGTTACATGCGGGCAAACCAGGAGCTGAACCAGAGGCTGAGTAACATCAACCTCCATCCCGGACAGACCAGAGGTGAGAGGGAACCCAGGCTGGGGCTTTGCTGTTCCTACCAAGTTAAAAAGCGCGTTTAAATGCCTTTCCCTGACAGTGAGAGCTTGGAGCAGAGTCAGAAGTGGTGCTGGTCATTACTGGCCTTCATCAAGTGTTCTACAGGCACTGATTTTGATGAGAAAAGTGGAGATCCTGATACCTCATCTCACTGTACCCCCAATCTTTCCCTGCAGGGCTGGAGAGAAGCCTTCACGGAGCCGGGGACAGAGCTGCCCCAGCGCTGGGGACCTGTGAGGAATCCAGCCTCGGGGAACAGCCCCTGCCTCTGCCCGTCGCTGAAGAAAGCCATTGGGTGAGGGATGAGAGCAGGGACCTGGTGCACGCCCCGTTGCCATCGACGTGGCGCCGTTCCTCCCTGCCCAGCGACAGCCCCGGGGAGCACTTGCTGAGAGCGGGGCAGCCCCACGAGGTGCACCCCCCTCGCACCCTGGCTCCTGCCTGCAAGCCCCGCCGGGAGCTGCGCAGAGCCAGCCCGAACCTCACCCCAGTGCCTTATCACCCAGCCATGATAGATGTGAGGAAAAACCCCCTCTAGACACAGGCTCAAGGCTTACCTGGCACAGGGCGGAGAGGAGATACTGCTGGTGTGAGCTTAAGAGCCTTCCTCCCTTTCAGAGACCTTCAAGGAAAAAAAACCCATGACTTTTCATCATAGGGGAAGCAAGGATGTAAGGTGTGGGACCACCAGCCCACGTTCTCCACGTTGCTACCAGTCCAGACAGGGCTGACTGCACACCTGTCCTCCTGCACCCTCAGCAGCTTAAACACTGGGAAGGGGGAGATGCCTCTAACACTAAAGTGCTCTTTTTTTAGAGGTGCCTTTAAAAAAAAAACAAAACAACTTGTTTACAGTTTGGAAACCTCTGCTGCGGGGCTTGCTCAGCCCTGGCAGCCTCAGAGGGAGACACTGCAGTCCCGCAGAACTTGTACATAGATTTTTTTGTAGTAACTTCAGGCTTTTTTTTACATTTCTACTGTAACTTTTATAATAAAGCAGAGTGAGTTTTATGAAGCAGTCACTTGTCAGAGGCTCCAGTCACTTACTCTGGGTCTGTAGGAAAGGAGTTCTGTTTAAACCTCCCCGCATGGGAACTCGGCTGCTGTCACCGTGTTGCCTTAATGTTTAAATATCTGCTTTGTAAGTGCTCAGGCAGAGCTGGTGGGCTTCCTGCACCGAGTTCCTGCAGGAAAAGCATCTCCAGACAGCAGCAGAATTGTCTGAAGCTTTCAGGATAAAAGCAATCCTGGTTCGGTGCCATTTTCTGCTCTAGCCTATAAGCTGCTTAAAGCAGCATTTTCTCACTCTTGGGAAAAATTCCAGTCTGGATGGAAGGGAGATTAAATACAGCCCTGCTATTTCACACTGACACTGTCCAGCTGGGGAAGGGGGATTAAGTTTAACTCTGGCAGAGCAAGACATGAAAGCACAGGTACTCGCTTTAAGAAGGGGCAAGGGGGGAAAAACAGCAGCTTGGCTGCCTGACCCCAAAAAGCAAACACCACTGCTTCAGCCTGAAATCACAAGGAGCACAGCTACCACCTGAGGAGTAGCATACACCAAGTCAAAAGCCAGCATCTGAAGAAGGAACCACCTTGTGATCTTCCTCCTACATGCTTGATCTTGCCTGTAGGGGTATGGTGTTGAGGGGGAACATCACTGAGGGTGCTCGGTGTGGCTGAGCTGCACGAGATGCAAGTTCAGAGACTTTGTTGAAAACAAAGATCAGCAGAGAAAAGAATCCATCCTACTTGGAAGTAGTAGTCTTCATGGAGTAGAACTCCATGCTTGTGTATCAGTCCACATCCTTGAAGCAGGTGCATCTCTCCCACAAGCAAACCAATCACTGATAAGCACACCACAGAACAGCCACCTTTCTTGCAACACAGAGTGCTTCCAGGAAACAAGTTCTGTTCAATACCATCTACCCCTCAGAGCCTTAAAGCCACAAAACAAACTTCTGCCATGCCAAACCAGGTGCCATGCCTGATTTCAGGATGACCTCATGCTGTCTTCATAGCTCCCTGCTTCCTGTGCGTTCATTAGGCACAGTGAGGCGACTTCCCTGATATCCTGCCATGCACAGATGACTATATCCTAAGGGAAAAACAGCCCTTCCAAGACAACACACAATTTTAGCCCCTTGTAGGCTACATCTCAGGCACTGAATCACAGCTCCTGCTGGCTTCGTGGGGTGAGAATGCAAGCAGGGATAATTAGTCACTATTTAATCAGTGACCGTTTGGTAAAGAGTAGTCTTACAAACTGTCATCTCCAATTATTCCATCCAAGTTGTACCTCTCAAGGAAGTTGCCCCAGCCAGTCCACCAGAAAGGACAACGAAGTCACTCCATCAGCACCTGCTTACCCAGCAGTGGGCAGGAGATTCGAGATCTACGAAGTGGGAGAATCCAACTCCTCTCCTTCCCTGTTCCCAGCTAAATTCTTTCCCCTCTCTACTCTTTTGGCATTTGTCAAGTATTTTCAGTAATGGACTCATTAATCAAGAGTTCATCTGCTTGGTTTTTTCCCCACTAAGCTGTGGCAAACAGGATACAACTAACAGAGGGATCCCGTTAGTATCAGGATGATACACAGCAGGAGCACGCGGCTTGTTTTCTACCCATTCCTCTCCAGCAGCCTTCCTCCTGCAGCCTCAGTCCCTCACCCACCACTGGGGCTGGAAACAGATTTCTGATTAAGTGACACAACGAAAATTGACATCAGTTTATTTTACAAGAAAGCTGTAGAAAAGTGACAATTCTCCCTCTTTACCTAGCAGAGCTGAACCTTCTCTGCAGAACTCAGCTACCACATGCAGGAGAAATGCCAGAAAGACCGAGGTAGGCTTTGAACGGATGGAGAGATGCTGCAACTGAAGTTAAAACAAAACTTTTAGAGTGGTCCTTATTTCCACTGTCATGTGCTTGCATCCAGTCTCCTACCAACACAAGACAGCTCCAGTCCAGCACCAAATACAAGGTCTGTGTTAAAAAGGCTGTTTTGCAGCTGGGATAATGTAAAGTTCCCAACTGTTCTGGCTCCAAACTTCAGCTGAGCAGCTTTTTCCGTGAGTATGTCCTGCAAAAGGAACGCTTCCTGGAAGCCACGACATGGAATGGAGACAGCTCCTGGTTGACAGTACTTTGGAAGGCATCGGATTCCTCTTCTACAAAATAGAAAGAAGAAATTAAATCCACAGTTTGCCAAAGTTTACTGGTGACTCCAAGAAGCCAAATACCAACTGGAAACAAGAACAACAGTTCCTGCTCCGCTTCCTGCTAAGCTACTCTTCCTTCATTGCTCCCTCCCCTCCCTTCCAAACTTCCCAGTTCATGCCAAGTTTCTTGGAAATGTGTGAGATGGGACACTGAATACAGAAGTGCCCACAGGGTTTCTGCCCAAAGACCAATCCTTAGCACAGTTTGCTTTTGGTGTCATTTAGTGGCAGACAAGCAGAGAGCACATCTGGTCTGCTCAAGCCCAGCCTTTCCCTGCAGCACAGGCAGTTACCTTGAACGTGTCTTCTCCGAGAGGGGGGTGTGTGTCCCTGGCAGAGCAGAGGAGAGCGGGTCAGTGCTAGCAGGCTGCTAGCAGACAGCGTGTTCTTCACCGTTGGAGTTGAGCCTGGAAAAGCAGAGGGAGATGCTGCAGCAAACCGGCAACTCCAGAGCAAGTGGGAGAATCCAACTCCTCTCCTTCCCTGTTCCCAGCTAAATTCTTTCCCCTCTCTACTCTTTTGGCATTTGTCAAGTATTTTCAGTAATGGACTCATTAATCAAGAGTTCATCTGCTTGGTTTTTTCCCCACTAAGCTGTGGCAAACAGGATACAACTAACAGAGGGATCCCGTTAGTATCAGGATGATACACAGCAGGAGCACGCGGCTTGTTTTCTACCCATTCCTCTCCAGCAGCCTTCCTCCTGCAGCCTCAGTCCCTCACCCACCACTGGGGCTGGAAACAGATTTCTGATTAAGTGACACAACGAAAATTGACATCAGTTTATTTTACAAGAAAGCTGTAGAAAAGTGACAATTCTCCCTCTTTACCTAGCAGAGCTGAACCTTCTCTGCAGAACTCAGCTACCACATGCAGGAGAAATGCCAGAAAGACCGAGGTAGGCTTTGAACGGATGGAGAGATGCTGCAACTGAAGTTAAAACAAAACTTTTAGAGTGGTCCTTATTTCCACTGTCATGTGCTTGCATCCAGTCTCCTACCAACACAAGACAGCTCCAGTCCAGCACCAAATACAAGGTCTGTGTTAAAAAGGCTGTTTTGCAGCTGGGATAATGTAAAGTTCCCAACTGTTCTGGCTCCAAACTTCAGCTGAGCAGCTTTTTCCGTGAGTATGTCCTGCAAAAGGAACGCTTCCTGGAAGCCACGACATGGAATGGAGACAGCTCCTGGTTGACAGTACTTTGGAAGGCATCGGATTCCTCTTCTACAAAATAGAAAGAAGAAATTAAATCCACAGTTTGCCAAAGTTTACTGGTGACTCCAAGAAGCCAAATACCTACTGGAAACAAGAACAACAATAAGCTCCGCTTCCTGCTAAGCTACTCTTCCTTCATTGCTCCCTCCCCTCCCTTCCAAACTTCCCAGTTCATGCCAAGTTTCTTGGAAATGTGTGAGATGGGACACTGAATACAGAAGTGCCCACAGGGTTTCTGCCCAAAGACCAATCCTTAGCACAGTTTGCTTTTGGTGTCATTTAGTGGCAGACAAGCAGAGAGCACATCTGGTCTGCTCAAGCCCAGCCTTTCCCTGCAGCACAGGCAGTTACCTTGAACGTGTCTTCTCCGAGAGGGGGGTGTGTGTCCCTGGCAGAGCAGAGGAGAGCGGGTCAGTGCTAGCAGGCTGCTAGCAGACAGCGTGTTCTTCACCGTTGGAGTTGAGCCTGGAAAAGCAGAGGGAGATGCTGCAGCAAACCGGCAACTCCAGAGCGCTCTCAGGTAAATCTCAGCCACAGCCTTTATTCCACCTCAAAACTTTCATCAAGTGATACTTTTGAGTTTATCTGAAACAAATCTAGGCTGGCACAGTGGGTTTCTAGCAGCAAGAAATGTAAAGGGTGGTCTGGAATTAGCTCTTAGCACATTTAATTTTCTTAGATGGCTTAGTAGAAAAGCACTTCACTCGTATTAAACATAGTTACTCTTCAGTTAACTCATGTATCCTGGAAGAAAACTGTTACAACCATGATGGTCTGCAAATACAAAAATAAGGTCTGTAGGAACAGCAAGTCTCTTACAGGACCAGCTTAAGGCTAAATACTGCTATTATTTCATGTCCCGAATATGGACTAACGTTGCTTTAAAGTTTGCCCATTTTTCTCACTGATACCTGTTGAATGAGTAAAACAGTGCCCCTGTATAGAAACCTTTCCTTGCAAGAGGTAACAAACACTGAAGCTTTGGGATATGCAATGACAATAGAACATCTGCCAAGTTCTCTGTAACATGTAATTTCTAGAACAATACTGGATTTAGTATTTGAAATTCACAAGGCCTTGGATACAGAGCTGAAACAGCCTGTTTCACTAAGGTCAGCTGGATCATTTGTACCCACAGCAAAAGCAAAAAGGTAAAAATTAAATACCTACTGATGCAACATTACTGCTACCAAGGCAATCATTTCTGATACCCACTTTCAATGGGTCCACCAGCACAAGCAGATAGAAGAACTGGAGCACCAATAAATAGTAACATCCATAGGACTAACCTCCCAAGGCTCCAGTCTGTACTGAAGCAGCCAAGCTTCAGGTGTCAGTGCTAGATGCTGGGCAGAAACAGCTAGTGGCACCAACACAAACCCAAATAAATCACCAGTTAGATGCATTTGAGATCCTCCTTCCCCAGGTTCTCAAATTTCCCTTTTCATTCCTCCAGCCTCCTGCTCTTCCCTATTTCTCTGATTTCTCTCCCATTATTAATACTCCATTGATGAACTCCTCACATCCAGTCTGCCTCTCCATAGAATTAACTTCCATGTCATTTACAACCCACTCTCCCCCTCCACCTCATTCTCTCTCACACTGTCAGACAGAAAGCAACTGCGTTTTGGTTTTGTCTACCCCACATTTTTAACCACTTCTGAATTTCAATAGAGCATCACTCGTGCTGCTTAATTACCTGACAAAAGGAAGACATCGTCATCCCCTACACAGCTGTGCCGCTCAGGAGTTACGAGCACACAGGCTCCTGGTTTCTCAGGAAGTACAGAGTCAGTCCTTGATCTGCTTCTGTTCCCCTCATCTGTGGAAAAGCCCGCAAGACCCAAGTTGCACCTATCAGTGCAAGATCTCTTGGCACCACAATTCTCCTTTTCTGGCGACAGATACGCAATGACCCGCTTCCGAGATTTCAGGCCAAAAGTTCCAATGGCAGAGTCCTCATCAGCCCTGGGTTCAGAGTCACTAGGAGATGCCTGGTCCTGGAGCCTGCAAATCCCTTCCAGTTCAAATTCCCCAAGAGCATTTGTGACTTTGTTGCTACAGTGCTCCAAGATCTTCATCTCTCCTTCTCTGCCTGTTGACAATCTCTTCTGTTCATCAGCATTCTTCTCACTTTGACCACAGCCAGCGTTAGCGGCACTACCTGCTGCTCTCTTTCTCCGAGGCCAATCATTGATAGCATCAGGGGTAGTCTTCCCCTTCTGCTTGGGGGAAGGTGTCCAGGGAACTCCTGCTTCTAAGGGGGACGGGGAGGTGGCGTTAGAGGCACAGCTCGTTGGGGTGTATGACTGGCATATGTAGGTCTGTCCTCCAGCTTTCCCAGGTGTACTGTGGAAAGAGCGAAAGCAGGAGGGTGAAACACAGGCAGCTGCTTGTTTTCCGGGGTGTTTGCTACACCAGGTCATAGCAAGATCACCAAAGGGGCTTTCTCCTCCCTTGGGTTTGCTGCCACTTGCTTCGGGTTGAGCTTCCAACGATGAGCAAGAGCCAATTTTCTTAATGCGAAGTTTGGGCAGGCCCGAAGCTTGCATTTCAAGTTCAACTTCATAAGTTGGTGAGCTAGCAGAAGGCGCTTTGCAACGACTTTTAGGAGTAGAGAACTTGGCTAGAAGTTGAGGATTTCCCATCCGTGCTTCAGCCTCCCGCTGCCTCCTGTCTGCAGTGCAGCGTAAGGAATAGGCAGGAGCAGCCTTTGGCATAGGAGGTGAAGTGTTCAGGGCAGATCTGGAGTGTCTCTTCAGACTTGGAGCCTTCAGCCCTGTATATTCGTCTCTTAGCAGGGTTCTTGGTTCCAAGTCATCACTAACTGTTTGAGAACCACTTAGGAAGGACTCACAGGTGTTTGCACTGGAGTTTCCTTCCTTAACCAATTGCTCACACTCTGTCTCAGCATTCTCTGCATGTACCTGTCCTCCAGCAGAAGGCTCTGGAGACAAACGCTTTTCCAAGTTTTCTGAGCCCTCCTCAAAAGTCTGAGGAGACTTTTGAGACGCTACATCCATCTGCTCATTTTTCTCCACAACAGGGGTACATTCAATAACTTGGGACTGACAGAACTGGAGGCTTTCTACAGAAGAGTTAGGACCACTGTCATGATGATTGTCCTTATTTTTAGAAGGTGTTGTATGTGCAAATGTGAGGTTCTCTCCTTCAGAATTTTGTTCACATTTGGCCTGCTCGGATGCACAAAGCAGGGACCTCTGCGAAGTACCAGTAATAACTGGAGATTTTGGAAAAGATGGTTTAGATGCATCGAGTTCCCAGTCACAGTCCCTGGGCTGTGTGTGGGAAGGGGAGCAGATTGCCACAGTGTTTGTGGAACTTTCATGGAGAGGAGAACTGAAGGGAGGCTCTAGCCTCACAGCGAGAGGAGATAGTTCTGCACTCACTGGGCTGGTACATAGTTGTGAACCTGGATCTTCAGGTTTCCTGGGAGTACTTTTGGTTGCTGGAGATAACAGATCTGACTGCACCTGCATTTCCTTTGGGAGGAATTCCCTCCAAGTACCAACTGGAGAGGCTAAGTTTGAGTGGTATCTCAAGGAGCGTCTTGGAGTTTGCAGTTGTGTAAAACATCTTTCCTGGAGGGCAGAGGGGGAAGCAGCAGCTGGATTGGAATCTGTCAGAGGTAGTAACGAGCCACTGAGTGCTGCAAACTCTTCACGTTCTGGTATTTGTAAGCCAGCCTCTTTACATGGAGGGGAAAGTCCTTCTTCTGGAGAACAATCCTTAGAAGTTACTTGCGGTGAGCGAGCCCCCTTACTTTCAGTTAACGCAGATGATGACTTGGCCCTTTGTACAGGATGAGAAAAGTACTTTCCCAAACACTTTGCTACAGTCTGTTTAGCAACTGGGCTTTTGCCAGGAGTCTTCTCTAGCTTCTGTGGTGTCCTGTGGAGAATGCGAGGTGATCTCCTTGGTAGCTTACTGGCAGAATTCAGTGGCTTCTGGGCAGATTTATTAGGTGTTTTTCTAGGAGTCTGCAGGAGGGAAAAAATAAATTAAAAAATCATGCTTGATCTATTCCAGCCCCCCTTGATATTTACTTCTTAAGATTTAGAACACAGAAGACAGTTGATTAGACTTAATGAAAACACTAATTGTGAGATGTGTAGGTCTCACTAAATATGAAGAGAAAAAGGGGATGGGAAGAAAGAGAAAGAGGTGTTTCTACCTGACAGACAGTCAGCTCCTCTAAGGGTAAGGAATCTTTTCTTGTTCTCCGCCTTCCAGGTGAATGCTTCACTGCAGGACTACACGTGTCAATGACTGCACCAAAGAAAAACCTCTTGGGAGTCTGGACAGTGGGGGTCTCTGAATGCCACTTAACGCCTAAGAAGTGGAAAAGTACAATTTAACTAACACCAAGTAACCTGCCATGAACAATTGTCTCAATCACTTCAGATGTATGGACAAGTAGAATACAAAGCCTATAGCACCGGCATGTTCTTTTCTAGCCAAATGTTAAAACTTCACCAGAATGATTGTTATTTCCCAATATGAAACTAATATCCATCTGTAGAAAGAGTGCTCTAGTGGAAAAAAAAAAAGTACAAAATAGCTCAGCCTCTTATTCTATTTATAGCCTGTAGCTTAAGAAAGTTCTGGTTCATGACTAAGGATTCTAGCAAGTACAATATAAAGAACTAAATGTCACCATTTATAGCTGATAATCCTACTGAGAAAGCCAGCAAAGATCCCATCAGTCATTGCTTTATGCTGCCAGAGTAGACTAAAAGTAAGCTTTAGGATTTCTGCCCCATATTTTACAAGGATTTCACTGCATTTAAGGAATGCAGACTGACAATCAGCGGTATTCTGTTAGATGGGCCTGACTAGTTTCTTAAGCTTGCAGTGTATTCATCAGAAATAGCTGCCTTACCAGCCTCCAAACTCAGATTCCCAATTCAAAAATAATTACAGGGGATGAATTTCTGTCTACAGAAGATATTACACGATAGCTCTTAGCTTCTTAGTCTCTTGTAGAGCCAAATCAAATCAAACAGAGCTGTCCACGCCAGCTTTTCAGATCAGCAACATCAGCCTGCCCATTCAGTACCTTCTACATCCTGCAGGGAACAGCTCTCCTCTTGTCCCTGATGGACTTGCTGTGAATTCTGTGAGATGGGTTGTGTAGTGGAATAAAAAACGTCAGAGCAGGTCCTTTTCAAAGACAGCTGTTTGATGCGTGGGCTTCTTCTCAAACTTGCTTCTGAAAAGGTAAGGATATTGGAGATTGAGCCTTCTTTCCCCCTCAACAATGGGGACATCTTCAGGAGCAGTTTGTAACTGAAAAGAGCACACTCTAAGAAAAAACTTCCATACAGCTAATATCTCATGTAGGGAGGCAAGCATCAGAAGAAGAAAGCTTCAGCTTGGGGATTTTGAATATTAATGCATAGAAGTCTCCTTCCAAATGATGATGCCCCCTCCTCTCTAGCAATTACACAGGAAGGAATGATAGAAAAGACATGTTCAGTTCAAGTTACATCCAGGTTAAATGATTAGTTAATTCTCTTGTCTTTTTACTAGTGATTTCATCTTCCTGCTTGCCCAAACATGCTGTTTTCTTCTTCCTTCCTGGGGATAAGAAACAGCAGTAGCCAACATAGCACAGAGACAACCCACAGAGCCAGGTGGCAATCTGTTACAGTAGAAATCAGGGCAGCATAAGGGTCACAGCACATGAAGTTACACTGAAAGAAAACCCTGCATGTGCTGATTTGACGATAATTAAAGCAGCCCAGAATCTTGTTCACCCTCAAAGTCTTTCATGTATTTTCATTTAAAAGAGTAACTATCTACCTTTCTTTCTTTCTTAAACTTCTACTGTATAGGGCTGTCAAAGCAGCAAGCAGTTCTATCAGAGGAGGCTGTGCTCCACCAAAAGAACAGTACAATAGTTTTGTACTGACTATTCATGAGTTATCTAAATTGAACATGCTTGTCTTATGAGCTACAACACAGCAAAACCAGCTTTAATCAAAAAAAACAGTGCTTACCATTTATGGCCTTCTCTGGAGATTCTTCTACAACACCAGTTTCACAACCTGGATCAGAAGACCTTGAGAAACAGCAGACATTTTTGGACTTAGCATGCAGTTCACATTTACAAAAACACAACTTCCCACATAGACTGAAAAGCAGTGCTCTGTTCTACAACAATATACTGCTTTGTGGGTTACTCTAAGATACCTCTAAGAAGATACCTGGCTCTTGTGCTCGCAGCCATTAATTAGACATCCAATACTTACTGAAGAAATTCAGAAAGAGCTTACTCACCTTCCTTTGATCTGCTTATGTAGCAGCCTCCTGGAGACCTGCTTATGTAGTGGTGTTTCTGCAACTCTCTTGGTCAGTAACTTGCGATGATCTAAAAATCAAGAGTGATAACATCACACAATCACAAAGCAGTTAAGGCAAATAAATAAATTCAATTTCGTATAGGCTTGTTTAAGATGGCAACCAACATAAAATCGTTGTGCATCCTTCTCCCAGCACATGTCCAACTGGCAGTAAGACCACATCCTACCTTTAGTGCCTTCATCAGTGCATTTGTATTTTAATCCTTCCACAGCTCTGGACTTCTTTTACAAGTTTGCATCATTTGTGTTATTCCAACAATAAGCTACAAGCAGATGCCACAGCAGAAAAAGCAGCCAGTCAGTGTCCCAGATGGAGCAACATTAAGCTAGCTACAAAGTTTCAGCTGAAGCACATGCTGGTTCACAGAACACACGTGGGATTTAATTTTAAGTATTTTGGTAGCTAGCTATTCTGTTTCCAGATACAAGAGTTCACTTGTGTCATCCTTTTCAGGACAGAGAAGACAGAAATAATTGCAAGATTGAAGGAAGAATAGAAAGGCTTTCTTTTCAGGATACATGATATAAGTTTTCTGCATGTGAGCACCCCCAGAATACAGTGGTTATTTTTTCCTCAACGTTTTTGCAGAATTCAGCAAAGCTTCCTTCAGATTTCTAGCCTGCTTCAGCATAATTGCATCACAGCTCGCTAAAATATTCAGGGAGAACATGTGCTGAAGATGCACCTTTCCGTGGAAAAGCTAAAAGTCAATATACCTTGCGTGGCTTCTTTCTGCAACAAAGGCATCTGTTGAGACTTCTCAGCAGCACGGTGAGAACGCAAGTTCTCCTGAAACAAAAAAAAGAGATCAGCCTCACTGGCAATTTAATGTTATGTTTAACTATGACAAATATTAACTGTACCCTCTAAACCACACACTATTTCAATTTCTCCTTCAAACTGATTTTCACCTCCGTACAGCTGATACAGGGCACACTTACTAAGTGAACACAGAGCAAGAGTTTTTGCACCCAAGTGTCAATTCATGACGCTGCTGCAGCCCTGCAGAAGCAACACACACACAATTGTTTTAGAAGAGTTTTACCTTTCTGGTGGGATTCTTGGCTATCTTGGGAATCTCAATTTGACGCAAGTTCTGCGATGCTTCTGTCATGCTCCTGTGTCTGGCTAATACATTATTCCTTTAGAAAATATGTAAAAATGAAGTTAAAATAAGAGCAGAAGCACAGTTACCAACCTAATGACAATTAAGCTTAGGTTTGATGCTAGCGATAGGAAGTCTTTAACTAAATTCAGGCTGCAAATTGCATTGGTACCTCAAGTTACAATGCTGAAAGGTGATTTGCAATGTAAGTAGCTATACCCAACTTTAAGGTTGGTATTAAAACTCATTTCACGATTTGCTAAAAACGTACACAGGATCCCCAACATAGAGGTCAAGAGTAAATCAGTTTTAACCTTAACAATAGAAGGCCACCTACTGCACAGTAGAACGTCTTCTTCCTCTCATGGAAAATGCTTATTAACTCCTTGTCCATGAGACAAATAATCAAGACTATACTTCCACAAAGTCAACAATGGTAAGTTAAAAATGAAAAATGGGAGCCCTTAGTATTTCTCTCTGAGGCTTGCAAAGCTATCAGCAGGTGTCAGCTTGCCCCAACTAATTCTCCAGCAACAGAAACAAAGATGACTGAGCTGTATCTTAAATGATTCCTCAGCCACAGCCCGGGCTGCAATTTGAAATTACCACCTTCTCTTTTTGGCAGATCTGGTGCGCAGCTCCTCCAGCCGATCACTCTCGGTGGGTAGGCAAAGAGTGCTGGGAGTTAAGGCAGATGATAAAGATGGTGGAAGGCTCGGAGATTTGCTATCCAGCGTCACAGAATCATCACTGAAGAAGTCTGAAGGCAGAACAGATGCCAGCTTCGGGGGTATTTGTACACCGAGACTGTAATAAATATCTCCAAGGGTCTTCGGTATAGAATTCATATACCTAGAGCATCAGAGAGAACCCACATCAAATATAATCTCCCACAAAACTGCCAGTGTTTCAATACCATTGTTCTTAAAAGTCAATCAAAAAGCCAACTGTTTTTCCCATTAGTTTACTTGCTTATCAGCTACTTTTTCTTTAATCAAGGTATAAGGGTAACAAACAGAACATGTCTAAGCTTCTGAAAATTACAAAGCAGCAGTAAATCAAAGCTATAGATTGCTGTTTACCCAAAGAAGATGCCCAACCAAAACCACAGTCCCCTAAAGAACTTACAATTCTAATATTTCCTCTAGAAACTTTGTAAGATACCCTGGGTCTTCAGTCAGACATAAAATGCGCAGCATATCTGTCATCTGGAAGAGAAAGTCAGGTGGGAAAACAGATTAAGTTATGACACTTGCAACACTGGATTTTTTTAGCAGATAACATAGTAAGTTACAGTAAAAATCAAGGGAAAACTAGAGGTTCCAGGTTTGCATTTCTCAATTTACTTGCCTCTTCTAACAGCTGCTCCATTTCGTCCGTGTTGCTCTGCAGTGAAGGGCACTGAAGACATAACTCAAGGCGCAAAAATACCTGAAGACAGCACCTAAGAAAAGAAGTAATCATTCACAGCCTTTTTTTTTTTCTGGAGGAAACAGCACATTTACTAAAAAGGTATGCTCAAAAAAGCATGGGAGAGGAAGTGGCTCCTTTTGACACCATAATTTGGTTAGCATTTCATTTTGGTGGCAGGGAAGATGCCTCATTTCAGATCTAGGCTGCAATGCTTATCACACAGCATATGTACATCTGCATTTAATGAAATGTTTTTACTGTGACCAGAGACTGTGACTCCTTGGATTATTTACCCCATGTAAATATTTCTCCACTTGTACAAAAAAGCCACTATTAAAAATCGCTAACCAACTCCACGGTATCTCAGAAGTTGAAGTAAACAGAGTGTCTCTTACTCTCTGACTTTGGTCTCCTTCTGCAAGCCATGCTGTTGTCTCAGCATCTTGCTGGTCTTCAGGAGATGGTTTCTGACTCTATCCACACAGGCCACCTGCAGAGACACATTAATTACAGCAAAAACTTCAAGTCTGTTCCTTGTCTGCAGGACAGGCTTTCCCCCCCACTACTCTCTTGACTCATTCTTTTGGGAACAGCTCAATTTTTCTCCTTCTCCTTCAAGGAAAAGGATTCTCTGTTTCTTTCAGTAACAAAGTCATGATGGCATGAGACATAGAAGAACTTAGAGCTTGAAATCACACAGAAGGTCATTTATGTGAATCTTCAGGTCTTCTTTAGTAACTGTAGATAAGTCTTTCACAGTATTTTATCAGTCACTCACAATTACTCACTTGAACAACTCTGGTCTCAGTGAGTTACTTTAAATTTATACACATTGTTAAAGATTGGAAGAAATACCTTGAGCTATTTCTCTCTCCTGGAGAAGTAGTAGGCCTAGATTTGCCATGTAAAACAAAGCTACAAGATGAACCTTTTTTAAAATATGGCTTGCAAGAATGTATTTTTAAGTTTTGAATAAGTGAAATTAGAATTCAAAATGAGATCAACGTAAAGGAAAAAATACATCTGTTGCAGTCTCTAGCAAAGGTGTAAACTGGTCACTGAACTGGATTTTCCTACATTCTTAAAAACTACCTACAGGTTTTCACTATTAAGCCAGCACAGGCAGAAGCAATTAGCAGTTGTGGTTTTGACTACTTGCAGCTGTGCATAAAAACTTCAGGTAAGATGAAGGAAAGGTAGCCTAAAATAGTAAAAGCTTTAATTTCCAGATCAGTAACAACCCTGCCCACATGCTCTTACCGACCTCTTTCTCTTTGGCATCTTGTGCTTTCAAGAACCTTTTGATGGCCACGATCATATTCTGGGCACACACAGATGAAAGAACTCCCTCGACAACAGCCTTCTGGTAGCTTGCAATTAGATGGGACTGCAGTTCCTCCTCAGTTTTGAAGTCTGCAAGGGAAATGTCTTCAGTTAACTAGATGACTGTTCACCACACCTTACTGATAAAACTCATTCCAGCTGAAGAGGGGAACAGAGGGGATCATCAAAAGATATTTTCTCCAGCAAAGACGAATCCAGACTACAGAACACTAACAGAAGCAGTCTCAGGTCCAGACCCATGACAAACAATAAGCTTATTTCCTAGTCAGGTTACTGTAGCAGTCAAGAAATTCCCTTTACTGATGCATAATTAGTAAATAGGATGCTTACCTCTACTTCTTTTGGTTAAAGAAAAAACATAGTTCCTTATTGCTTTTTTCAGATGGCCATAAGGCAGAAAACTTGTAGTTGTAACACTAGGTTATAAACATTTGTAGAAACTAACTGGGAGAAGGGTGGGGGAAAAATAACCAAACACTGTCCCAAGCTGAAGATACAGAAACCCAAACACTGATCTGCTCCCTAACACCCAATACTCCCTTATTATCCTTCCCTCTCCCTTCCATAAAAATGACCTCAAAAAATATCAGGACTGATAACCAAACACACACCTAGTGATATTTTAAGTGCCTTTTCCTTTTCTTCCACCTTTTCATCCAATCTTTTTGCTGAAAGCTTCTGTGGAACCTTCTCATTCACTGTTGGTGGTGCACCATCAGGTTGAAACTTCTGAGCTTTTACATTCAGTCTTGCTACGTTGAGCATCTGCAGAGATCTGGACATGGTCTTCATCTTCTGCCTGACTGGAGTTCGGGGAACCCCACCTGCAACACCACAAAAAGGGAATTTTACTGTCAGACACATTGAGGCAAGAGCTCCACCCAAGGTAGAGCTTAATTCTGAACTCTGTATTATTGTCAAGTGAGATTAGTAACCTTCTAGGGGAAAACATGGCCCAAAATGTTTGTATTTCTCCATGAAATAAATACAGGCAGCTACTTCTAAGTAAAAAAGCAGGTAAAAGCTGTTGCTCTGCATAAGAACTTATATAGGTATAATCAGAAGTTACATATATAGGAAGCAATCTTACATCACAGAAATAGAAACAACTGACAGAGAAAGACTTAGGGATACATCAGGTCAGTGTATATGCAACTGTGGTTAGCGTAGGGAAACATAATGATTAAACTCTTCTAGAAGAAACTGTTTTCTTTCTCCAAATTGTAACAAAATTGAGAGGCTGAATACCTGCTGGTAGTGGGAGCGGTCCCCGTTTCAACACCTACTGAAACAGCTCTGCATGCTGCTTTTGAACAGTTTTGTTAGTCACTGTGCAGCCTTGAATTAAAGAGCCATTTAGGTTATTCCAAAGGACAATCTTCATATTAATATGTAAATGATGCTGTCTCAAAAAAAAAAGAATCTAAGTTGTGCCACTCCTCAGGAGAGTACAGCTCCCTAGGGTTCGTGCGTTAAAAAGCCCTGCTGAGAAGCCTTTATCATCTTTAATTGACAATGCACATCTAATCCCCAAGTATACATACGTCTTTTTTTGTTATTTCCTGGTCCAGCTGCAGCAGATGTTTCACTGAATTTTCTCTGGTACAGCTCAGATAGACTTTCAGAGAGTTCTGCTTCACACTGCTCTGCATCATCCTTCCCATTCACACAAGGAACCTGCAGGAGCCTATATAAAAAGAACCATTCACTATAGTTCTTAAAAAAGACAGGAGTGGGAGGCATCCCTCTTGTTCCCAGTGGACAGGAACCAGGATTTGCCAGCCCACAGCAATATAGTGCAAGTAACACATGCTAATACTCTTCCAATGCCTACTCTCTAAAACTCTACTTAAAAGATATAAGAAACACAAACCACCCTTTTAAAAGCATTGCACCAAGTTGGAAACAAGCACAACAGCAGTTGCCTGATGTAAAATGGATATGCCACTGACCCATAGCACAAAGACACTCGTACTGCTTTGTGGCACCTAAGCTATCCTGCATTAGGCTCTCGTTGTTGTTTCACTCAGCAAGCTCTTTGAAGAAAGCAGGTTTCTTCGTTCTTACTAAATACCAACTGTGATAACACAACTACTATCTTCAGTATCTTGCAGTGGATCTTATCATACCATAAGAAGAGCTGAAGTCTGACATTTCCCCAAGTAGCTTAGGTCACCTATAGCACTCCTGAAACTATCAAGATCTTAATCCATGCAAACTGCTACCCAAACCTCCTGTTCCCAATTCCTTTTGTCTAGCCCACAGACATAATGAAGGAAAATCACAGAGTAAACTGAGCACAGAAATAAAAGCACTTAGAGGGACATTTAATTCTAGAACTCTGAGCAACACTACAGCCATGCTCCCTTAACAGCAAGCCGAAATCCCTGATTATTACTCAGAAACACGTTGCAGAAGAATACCTGAACGACTCCATCAGATCTGAGCTTGCTCCACACACATTTGATGAAGGATACCATGCTTCAAGGACTGAAGGATGCCAGCCACCTGTATGGGACAGTTCCCGTTGGACCCACTCTGCCATCAGAGCTTCTTCTTCTGTGAGCAGACACACACACACAAATAATTAGATGGAAACTAAATGAAGTGGCAGAAGGTCCCAGCCTTCACAGGGGGTCTAAAGCAGAGGTTTCCAAACTTGTGCTCCTTGTGGGGCAATTTAATAGCTAATGTGTCAGGCAGGAAGACTCATTACAACACGAATCAGGCACGGAAAAGCAGCCTCTGTGCAGCCACACCCAGGCAGGGATGGCCTACGTGACACATTCTAGGAAACCTCCTTCTAAAAACTTGTCCCCGAGCACAAGTAGCTTTGTTTTATCTACAAGGTAACAGAAACTAATGCTCTGTCAATAAAACAGAAAAGTACACCAGTGCAGATTTCTGCACCGCAAGACCTGAACCACAGAAGACAAAATTAACAAGTCCAAAAAATGAGAGACTCCTCACTGGGGAAATCTTTAACTTTGGATTTTTCCACTCCAAATCAGACATAGAGGCAACCAAAAGATGGCATGTTTTGTATTTCCTGACACCTACCCATACTGGCCAGAGAATCTTCCTCCAATGTGCTCATTTTACTCAACACACTATTCACAACATCTGGGAGGTGAAGACCAGAGTCTTGGGAAGAGATCTCCACCACAGCTCCTTCAAGGTTGCACCGCTGAACTTCAGCAGCCTTCTCAGCACCAAGTACAGTCAGAACTGCAGTGCTCTCAGAAAGTGGTGATAAAACAGCAGTGCAGGGGCACCAAGTTTTAGATAAAGATACCTCAGCAACCTACATTAAAAAAAAAAAAGAGAAAAGTTTATATTATGTAGAAATACAGAAATACATAAGGAGTACAGATACTTTACAAACAGGTTATAGATTTACATGATCTAAAGAACGTTCTGAATATAGCTCCAAATGAGTCACTTGCAACAAATACCACTCTTACTGTCTTCACAACATGATAACACCGTCACCCCTTTTGTCACAGCACATTTCAGAACAGATATTCGTTTAAAGCGAAGAAAACATTTACCATGTGCAGTTCTTCAGTCACTAGACTCCTTAACAGCTGATGAAACAACAACCTGTTCTGTGCTGCCTGCTCAGCCTGTGAGCTCCGCAGTATCCAGCTCTCCGTGAGGAAGCAGCCAGCCTGCATCAGGCTCCAGCCCCTCAGGCTGCCTTTCAGGAAGATGTTGACCGGACAACGCAGTTGTCTTTGGCTCATGGTAAGGGGTTCCAGGACCACAGCACAGCTTTTCTGCTCCTTTCCTTCTGGACAAGGACAAAGTAAAGTATAAGTCCCAAAGCTTAAAAAACAGGTTTTTCATCTAGATGAAGAGACAACTTCAATACAAGAAAAATTAATTCAGAGATTAAACTGGGAATAGTTCTCCCATAAGCGTATTGCAGGACTGGTCTCCCCAAGTTGTCATGAAGGAGCTGAGTGCACAAAGGGACCACTGAAGAGGCAACACACACTTCATACTGCTCTAAAGCTAATCTACTTCCTTTCGTGTTCTTAGTTTAGTCAAATTGAAGCTGAGACAAAGCATGTCGAATAAAAGGGTGTTCATCTATATAAGGCAGAACCAGCAAAGAGCTCTTCAGACATCCAAATTTCTGAAAGCATGGAAAACTGAAGAGGCTAAATCAGAAATATGGCCTAATAGCTCTTGTATCAGGAGAGCTATTAGGCTATATTAGAACTAGGAATTCTAATTCCCAGTTCTAGAGCACACACAGGACTTCTTTTAAAACTTAGGATCTGAAATGTCTGAAATTAGTTCTACACATACTGTTCACAAAGGAAACTCAAGAACCCTGCATGAGAGATTACTATGTTATTACTATGTTACATTATTACTATGTTATGTTACATAGTTATTATTATGCACGCGTATTTCTCTATGTTTGGATTTTTTTTCATTACCAGGCATGCTGAGAAACATCGTTCCTTCTTGCTGGGGGAATATGGCTTGAAATACAGAGGGCTTTGAGAACAAGAAGTTCAAAGTCGCATCCAAGGGCAGAAGCATGGTCCAAGGCACATTCTGTGGCGCTGGGGAACTTGAGTCTCCAAGAAAGCCATGAGCAAGATCTGCCCTGTGGGGACTCAAACACTGCGCTAAGGTTTCAGAAGGTAAAATGGTGCCTCCCATCTGACGGATCAGTTCAAACATTGTCCAGTATCCAACATGATCTGGGGATTCAATCAGCTGAAATAAAATAACAGGGGTCGCAGGTTAATATTGGCAGTAAGATAACCTCAATCCAAACAGAGATTGCATGTTCTTAGAAAAACTGGCATAAGAAATGCATATGGAGCCTCTTAATGCAGTGCTTTCCAAGTGCTTTTATGGTGTTTATTTATCTTATCAGGAACCCAAAAAAGCAAATACTATTCCCACAGAATTAAGCAGCAGGGCATATTTTCAAGCGTGTATCTAGACACCTGACTTTTCAGATTGCTTATTTGCAATTCTGAATAGCTGCAACTCCCACCTAACTCAAAGCACAAGATGACCCATCATCCTGTGTACAGATAAACACTCAAGAGCTACTGAATTGCTGATTTAACTCCTTCTCCACATGGATAACTGCTATTCCAGTTTTCAGGCTCCTGCTGAACAAGATTACATGGTAGTAAATGAAGATCTTTCCCTACCACTGAAAGGCTGCAGCATAAAACTGCTCAACCTTCTTATATGAGGGGGTAGCAAATAAGACAGAATCATAGAATTGTCTTGGTTGGAAGGGACCTTTAAGATCATCAAGTCCAACCATGAGCCTAACACTGCTAAAAACACCACTGAACCATGTCCCACAGCACCACCTCTACCCGTCTTTTAAATACCTCCAGGGACAGCGACTCCACCACTTTCCTGGGCAGCCTGTTCCAATATTTGATAACCCTTCTGGTGAAGAAATTCTTCCTAGTATCCAATCTAAACCTCCCCACTAATAGATAGCCCCTTAGTACTCGCGGCTGAAGGCTGTGTGGTATAATCTCATTACCTGGGACCACTCGGCAGTGTCCACCCAGAACAGCGTGATCTTCTGGCCCGCGATGAGCTCCTGGACACTCTTGGGCAGGAGTTTCTCCGCCAGCTGCTGAGCCGTGGGGGGGTCACAAGGGGAGGAAGGGGCGTCGCTCCCCGACACGAACTGCCGCAGCTCCCTCCGCGAGTGGGGGCAAGGGGAGAAGAGGAAGATGGCGTTCACAAAGCCCTCGGGGGGCGCTTGGCTCTCCGGGGGCTCTCCGGCGGCCGGCCCCGTCCTCCGGCTCCTGCGGAGCGGCTTGGCGGGCGACGCGATCTCCGGGCGGTCCCACTGGAAGTCGAGGATGGTTTCCTTCAGGCCGTTGTGGGTGAGGGCGGCGCGGGGAGCCGGCCCGGGCAGGACGACGGCGGCGGGTCCCCGCGTCCCGAACCGCTCGGCCAGCTCCTCCTCGAAGCGGGCCCAGGCGCAGGGTCCCGGCGGGCGGAATCCGCCACCCCGCGAGGCCCCGCCGCGGCCCCCGAGGGAGTCGAAGAACCTGAAGGCCCAGCGGAGGCGGGGAAGGCCGAAGCGGCAGCCCAGGTGGTTGAGGAGCCGCAGGGCGCCGCGCTGCAGCCGCGCCCGCCGCCCCGGGCTGGCCGTGTCCAGCAGGAACACCACGCTGTGCGAGCACGACATAGCGCCCGCCCTCCCGCCGCCTCACAGCGGCCCGACAGCCACCCCCGCCGCCCGACGGGCCCCCTCAGACCGCACCCGCCGCCATCGCTCGGTACAACCGCTGGCGCCCTCGCCTTCCCGCGCCCTCATTGGCTGCCGCCGAGCGCCCGCCCCCCCAAATCCTCGCTCCCCATTGGGCCGCGGAGCGGCGCGCCTGCGCAGTGCGGCGCCCGCGCTGGCGGCGGGCACGGGAGACGCGCCGGGAGTTCGAGCGGTTCTCCCCACTGATTGGCCGGAGGGGCAGCGTGCGTGCGTGCCGGGGAGGGGGGAGCGCCGCATTCTATTGGCTAAAGGTCCGTTACGAAAGTAGAGGGGGGAGAGGCCAGCACCCGCCGCGCGCTGATTGGCCGCCGCCGCCGCCAGTTTAAAATTTAAAGCCGGCAGGGGCGCGCGTAGTGGTGATGTCATTGCCCCCCTCGCCTCTCTCATTGGCTGAGGGCTGTGATGTCACCGCCGTGACATCAGAAGGCAGGGCGGGCGCCCTCGTGGCTGAGCTGCGGGAGCTCCTGTCACCCATAGGGGCACCGCGCCGGGGGGGGACAGGGTGTAGGGTCGGGGCACCTGATGTAGAATCATAGAATCATTTCGGTTGGAAAAGACCCTTGGGATCATCGAGTCCAACCATCAGCCCTACTCTACAAAGTTCTCCCCTACGCCATATCCCCCAACACCACATCTAAACAACTCTTCAACACATCCAGGGATGGTGACTCCACCCCCTCCCTGGGCAGCCTGTTCCAATGCCTGACTACTCTTTCTGTGAAAAACCCTTTCCTAATGTTCAGTCTAAACCTACCTTGTCGTAGCTTGAAACCGTTCCCTCTTGTTCTACCACTAATTACCTGGGAGAAGAGACCAGCACCAACTTCCTTACAATGTCCTTTCAAGTAGTTGTAGAGAGTGATGATGTCTCCCCTCAGTCTCCTCTTCCTCAAACTAAACAGTCCCAGCTCCTTCAACCGCTCTTCGTATGATTTGTTCTCCAGGCCCTTCACCAGCTTCATTGCCCTCCTCTGCACTCGCTCCAGCACCTTGACATCTCTCTTGTATTGAGGTGCCCAAAACTGGACACAATACTCCAGGTGTGGCCTCACCAGTGCTGAGTACAGGGGGACGATCACCCCCCTACTTCTGCTGGTCACACTATTTCTAATACAAGCCAGGATGCCATTGGCTTTTTTGGCCACCTGGGCACACTGCCGGCTCATATTCAGCCTCTTGTCAATTAGAACCCCCAACATCTGGGGAGGTGGAGGACGAAGACCTTGGGTGGTCATCAACCGCCTTGCCCCTGAGCATCACCTCCCAGCAGGTCTCGGAGCACACCTTCCCCTGTGGCTGTTGGCAGCCAGGGTGTGACCCAAGCGTGGGTGGACTACACTGGGTAACAGAGAAGAGGAAGCCCTGCAGACCAGAGGCGCCCAGATGTCCACACCACCCTTCTCTCCAAAGCCTGAATGCCCCAGCCCAAACCAGTGTCACCAGCAGCCAGTCGTATTTATAAAGCAACAAAGAGAAGCGGGCAATAAACCATCCATTCGGCTTTGCTGGTGACTATGAACGCAAGTGGGTTTAATGAGCTGGAACGAGGGGCTGATCCACTCGGGTGCGCAGGAGAAACCTGCCACCAAGAGCAAGGGAAGGACACCAAGTCTCCCTGGCTGAAGAGCCAGTGGGCCGCCTGCAGTCCTAGGGATGTGGGTTCCCTGAGGAGCCATGGGTCCCTCCTCCCGATTGAGGGTTGCTATTGACCCTGTGAGACATCTCGTGCTGCTTGTCAACATGTCACTCACATGTATGAGCCCTGAAGAAGAGCCAACTCCACTGAATTCCCACTGCCATCACCCAGCCGCTGGCGTCCGTCCCAGTAGCCCGCTGAGGACACTTAGCAGAGTGTGACCAAAACCTGCCTTATCACAGTCCACCGGGGACCAGAAACAAACTCGGGGCATGGGGGAGTTTCCCAGCAAAGCCTGGTAGCTCCCGAGATGGGAATTGCCGCCGGCTGATCAAGCTCCTGCTCCTTTCCTGCCCACTCCAGCGGATTTGCTCTTGAAGCCCATCCAGCTCTTGGGAAAGCCATCGGAGATGGTGGCTGAGCCCTGGTGACCTGTGTGTTTCCCAGCATAACACCCACACTCCCTGAAGCCTCTGCTTCTCACCCTGTCCTGCACTTGTGCTGCTCGTGGAGACGTTCGCCCTCTCCACCTGCTCCCCAAGGACACCGACTTCTCCTCTCTCAAACAGAGCCCTCGCATTCTCTCTGGACAATCATTGACTTGCCAATAAATGCAGTTTCTTGGGAGGGAGGGAAGGACACAAGAAAAGTAATTTGTAAATTGGGCTCACGTTTGGTTGACACTTTGATCCAGATAGGTTTTTTTAACTTAACAAAGTCTTGGTTTATTTTATTTAATTTTTTCAACATTTCTCTATGAGTGATACTTAATGCCAAGGGCTGAAAAGAGAAAAGCCAGACCTAAATGAACCAGGAGATAAAGGAGGGAAAGGCGAGGGTCACCAGGCTGGGACTGTCAAGTGAGTGCCTGCAATGCTGCAGATGCTGGAGATGCTGCTTCCATCTCTGCCCTCCCCTGGACACCTCCAGACCACCGGGGTCCACGGCTTTGTGGTCACCTCTCCAGCACCTTGGCCCTGCAATAAGATCTGCCAAGACAGTTCACAGTGACCCAAGGAGCCCTCATTCCCTCCTCTCCAGGCTGAAGCTGCCTCGAGGCCTCCAGGCAAGAGGGAGGGATTTCTGTGTGCTTTAGATTTTGTTTTTACATCTCAGATATTTTTAGTGCTCATAAAAGTGAGAAACTGGGAGAGACCCAGCTAGGACCAGTACCGTACAACCCTCACCCAGAGCTTTTCCAAGGCAACAGAGACCTGGTTGCCGCCAGCCTTAGTCCTGTGTCTCCAGAGCAGAAGGGCAAACATATCTGCCCCTCTTCCCCCAGCATCATCCCGCTGATTTTTTTTGGCAGAAACCTTGCTGCTTTTATGGGTGCTGGCCATGATGGGCCAAATTGAGTGGTGGAGCAGGCAAGAAATGTTGCCTCCAGCAGGCACTGCACTAGCTCACACCATTGTGGAGTTTCCAACAGGGCTTTTAAGCAGCTTGATATTAGTGACTGGGGCTCTGTGAATGTTACTTCCAGCAGGCACTGCAGTAGCTCACACCATTGTGGAGTTTCCTACAGGGCTTTTAAGCAGCTTGATATTAGTGACTGGGGCTCTGTGAAATCTGCCCCATGTGTCCTACCCACGTGGTAGGTGGGTACCTACAAAGTACCTTGTAGGATGGATGCAAAGGACTTGGTCTAACCCACCGTAGGAAGCACTCTGCCAGCATCGCTGTGGGCACCTGTGCTGGCACAGCCCCATCAGCCTTTCCAGTGTTACCCAGGCCCTGCAAAGGAGCCTGGTCCTTTAATGGGCTCTCACAGCATGGGGAGCCAGTGGAGCATGCCAGCTCTGATGGGACTGCAGTGGCAAAGTGCTGATCTGGAGGTCGATAAGGAGGGGCAGCACAAGGCAGTGCAGCAAGGTGAGACTATCGGGCCAGCGGAAAAGCCATTACCCTTTGTCCTCAGCCTCCAGAGGCAGGGGAGAGGGGCTGAGGACAACGGGTGGGACAGAGCTGCTGCCTTCCAGGCTGTGCAAGGTCTTCACAAGCTGCTTTTCTGGGGAAGCTGCCATTTCAGTGAGATCACAAATTAGAAAAAGCTCTGCAGTTTGGTTCCTTCCGCTAAAGGGTAATCAGAGCATAATTGCTGTTGGCTACACAACTAAGTCTTACCAAGTTCCCTTGTGTTATTAAAAGCTCCTCTGTGCCTCTGTGTTGCCTTTCTCAAGGTGTCCAAGGGCTGCTCTAGGCTAGGGCTGAAGACTGGTCCTGCCACGTAGCTGGCAGGAGAACATGCAACTACCAACAGTGCTTCTAGCAATTAGGGCTCAGGTATTGTTTAGGGATTTCAGCTTCTGTCTAGCTGGAGATCACTTCTTTCCTGGTATAAACAGCAGAGACCGCCTTGGAGAAACCATGTGTAATGGGAGACCCAAAAACATAGTGGGTGGGCCCTGAGCAGCATCGCTCGAGGGAGCACCCGTCCTCAGGGTGACAACAACATCCACTTGTTTGAGGCGTCCCCGCCAAGTGACCCTGCTCCAGCCAAAGCCAGCTGAAGCTCTGCTTGTGCAGGGTAAAGGGCTGGGCAGATGGAGTTCCCTTGTCCTCAGCCCCAGCATGGATGGGAGGGGAGGGGTGCTGGTTGGGACCCTTGCAGAGACAAGTGCAGCAGTGTTTTACAGCCCCGACTTCCCAGTGCTCCCCCGGGGCTGCAGGAAGGAGCCCTCACCCCGTTGTTCTCCCATGGTCTGACCTTCACTTGCTGTCTGGGTTCACTTGTTTTCTTACTCCCAACTGACCTCCCCGGTGTGTCTGGATCACTAACTGGTTCCTCAGAAGTGCTCCTGAGCTGCATCTCCCCAGCTCTTCCCAAAGCAGTCTCTGCCCTGCCGCCTGCATGGGGGCCAAATGAGGCTGGAGAACGATTTTGTGCGGCCGTCAATCTCTTCAGGACCATCCACAGCATTTTTCTGCCATCTGTCATTTTGAGAAGAAAGAAAACAGGAAAAAATAATAAACTCAAATTATTGCCTAATCAACACAGAAATCAGTGTTGCTTGCTCAGCCTGCAGGCCACAATTAGATGCCATCAGCAAATTTGGGCAGCTTGCCTGGGCTGCAGTCTTTCATCTCTTAAAGATTGACGGGCATCTCTGGGATCTGCAAGCAGAGGAAGGAGCTGGGATCTGCTTCCAGGACCTGCTGGGCTCTTTGGTGAAAAAGCACATGGTTCAAAACCATGGAAGAAAAGGAGCATTGTGTTTATGTCTCTTACGTAAAGGAAGCCATACCAGAGAAGGAGATGTTTAGGCTGCAGCTCTGAGGTCTCCAGCCC